TAAAACAACGCTAGAAGGAGGCTTGAACCTCTGTCCTTGTGGTTAATAGCTACACGCTCTAACCAACAGAGTTATTCCAGCTAATTGGACTTTTAAGCTCTAACCAGTATTGTTAGTTTGACACTTTTACCAACTCAGTGAATAGGCCGTTGAAAATTTTCATTATATAACCGTATAAATTGGTAATATTTTGAAAGTTAATGGGAAATGAACAATTCAAATTAAAACAAAACACTAAAAACTGGGCTTAAACCTCCGACCTTGTGGCTAACAGCCACACGCTCTAACCAACTGAGCTAATAGGCCATTAAAAATTTTCATTATATAACTGTTTAAATTAGTAATATTTTGAAAGTAAATGGGAAATGTGCAATTCAAATTAAAACAACGATAGAAGGAGGGCTTGAACCTCTGACCTTGTGGTTAATGCCACACGCTCTAACCAACTGAGCTATTCCAGCTAGTTGGACCTTTAAGCTCAAACCAGTATTGTCAGTTTGACACTTTTAACAAATGTGCTAATAGGCCTTTGAAAATTTTCTTTATATAACTGTATAAATTGGTATTGTTTTGAAAATAAATGGGAAATGGATAATCAAAGTTAAAACATCGCTAAAGCAGGGCTTTGAACCTCGGACCTTGCTGTTAAAAGCCAAATCCTCTAACCAATTGAGCTAATAGGCAATTGAAAATTTTCTTAATATAACTGAATAAAGTGGAATTATTTTGAATCTAAATGGGAAATGGTCAATCCGAGCTAAAATAACTCTATAAGGAGTGCTTAAACCTCCGACCTTGTGGTTAACAGCCACACGCTCTAACCATCTATAAGCTATTCCAGCTAATTTGATCTTTAAGCTCCAACCAGTATTATCAGTTGGAAAATTTTACCAACAGAGCTAATAGAATATTGAATTTTTTTTATATAATTGTATAAATTGGTATTATTTTGAAAGTCAATAAGAAATGGACAACCCGAGCTAAAACAATGCTAGAATGAGGGCTTGAACCTCTGAACTTGTGGTTAAAAGCCACACGCTCTAACCAACTGAGCTATTCCAGCTAGTTGAACCTTTAAGCTCCAACCAACATTATCAGTTTGAAATTTTACCAATAGCTAGTAGGTCATTGAAAATTTTCTTTATATAATTGTATAAATTGGTAATATTTTTAAAGTAAATGGGAAATGGACAATCCAAATTAAAACAACGCTAGAAGGAGGGCTTGAACCTCTGACCTTGTGGTTAACAGGCACACGCTTTATTCAACAGAGCTATTCCAACTAATTGGACCTTTGAGCTTCAACCAGTATTATCAGTTTGAAGATTTTACCAAAAGTGCTAATAGTCTATTGAATTTTTTTTATATAACTGTATAAATTGGTATTATTTTGAAAGTAAATGAGAAATGGTCAATCCGAGCTAAAACAATGCTAGAAGAAGGGCTTAAACCTCTGACCTAGTGGTTAATAGCCACACGGTCTAACCAAATGAGCTATTCTAGCTAGTTGAAACTTTAAGGTCCAACAAATATTGTTAGTTTGACACTTTTACCAACTGAGCTAATAGGCCGTTGAAAATTTTCATTATATAACTGTATAAATTGGTAATATTTTGAAAGTTAATGGGAAATGGACAATTCAAATTAAAACAATGCTAGAAGGAGGGCTTGAACCTATGACCTTGTGGTTAATAGCTACACGCTCTAACCAATAGAGTTATTCCAGCTAATTGGAGTTTTAAGCTCTAACATGTATTGTTAGTTTGACACTTTTACCAACTCAGTGAATAGGCCGTTGAAAATTTTCATTATATAACCATATAAATTGGTAATATTTTGAAAGTTAATGGGAAATGAACAATTCAATTTAAAACAACACTAAAAGGAGGGCTTAAACCTCCTACCTTGTGGCTAACAACCACACGCTCTAACCAACTGAGCTAATAGGCCATTGAAAATTTTCATTATATAACTGTTTAAATTAGCAATATTTTGAAAGTAAATGGGAAATGGGCAATTTAAATTAAAACAACGCTAGAAGGAGGGCTTGAACCTCCCGACCTTGTGGTTAAAAGCCAGACGCTCTAACCAACTAAGTTATTCTAGCTTCTTTGACCTTTAAGCTCCAACCAATATTATCAGTTTAACAATTTTACCAATAGAGATAATAGGCCATTGAAATGTTTCTTTACATAATTGTATAAATTGGTAATATTCTGAAAGTAAATGGGAAATGGACAATCCAAGTTAAAACAACACTAGAAGGAGGGCTTGAGCCTCCAACCATGTGGTTAACAACCAAACGCTCTAACCAACTAAGCTATTCCAACTAGTTGGACCTTCAAGCTCCAACCAGTATTATCAGTTTGACACTTTTACCAACTGAGCTAATAGACAATTGAAAATTTTATTTATATAATTGTATAAATTGGTAATATGTTGAAAGAAAATGGGAAATGGACAATCCGAGCTAAAACAACACTAGCAAGAGGTCTTGAACTTCCGACCTTGGGGTTAAGAGCCAATAGGCCATTGAAAATTTTCATTATACAATTGTATAAATTGGTAATATTTTGAAAGCAAATGGGAAACAGACAATTCAAAATAAAACAACGCTAAAAGGAGGGCTTGAACCTCCGACCTTGTGGTTAACAGCCACAGGCTCTAACCAACTGAGTTATTCCAGCTTCTTTGACCTTTAAACTTCAACCAGTATTATCAGTTTGAAAATTTTACCAAAAGAGCTAATAGCCCATTTATTTTTTTTATATAATTATATAAATTGATATTATTTTGAAAGTAAAAGAGAAATGGTCAATCTGAGCTAAAACAACACTAGAAGGAGGGCTTGAACCTCCGACCTTGTGGTTAATAGCCACAAGTTCTAACCAACTAAGCTAGTCTAACTAGTTGGACCTTTAAGCTCCAACCAGTATTATCAGTTTGACAATTTTACCAACAGAACTAATAGGCCATTCAAATTTTGCTTTATAAAATTTTATAAATGGTAATATTTTGAAAGTAAATGGGAAATGGACAATTCAAATTAAAATAACACTCGAAGAAGGGCTTAAACCTCTGACCTTGTGGTTAATGTCGCACGCTCTAACCAACTAAGCTATTCTAGCTAGTTGGACCTTTAAGCTCCAACCAGTATTGTCAGTTTAACACTTTTAACAAATGTGCTAATAGGCCTTTCAAAATTTTCTTTATAACTGTATAAATGGTATTATTTGAAAGTAAATGGGAAATGCACAATCAGAGTTAAACATTGCTAGAAGGAGGGATTTGAACCTCGAACCTTACGGTTAAAGCCAAATGCTAACAAATTGGACCTATTCCTACTAGTTGGAACATCAAGCTCTAACCCAGTATTGTCAGTTTGACACTTTTACCAATTGAGCTAATAGGCAATTGAAACTTTTCTTTATATACCTGTATAAATTGAAATTATTTTGAAAGTAAATGGGAAATGGTCAATCCGAGTTAAATCAATGCTAGAAGGAGGGCTAGAACCTCAGACCTTGTGGTTAACAGGCACACGCTCTAACCATCTGAGTTATTCCAGCTAGTTGGACCTTTAAGCTCCAACCATTATTATCAGTTTGAAAATTTTACTAACAGAGTTAATAGTCTATTATAATTTTTTTATATAATTATATAAATTGTTAATATTTTGAAAGTAAATGAGAAATGAACAATCCAAGCTAAAACAATACTAGAAGGAGGGCTTGAACCTTCGAACATGTGGTTAACAGCCACACGGTCTAAACAACTGAGCTATTCTAACTAGTTGGACCTTTAAGCTCCAACCAGTATTATCAGTTTGACAATTTTACCAACAGAGCTATTAGGCCATTGAAAATTTTCTTTATATAATTGTATAAATTGGTAATATTTTGAAAGTAAGTGGGAAATGGACAATTCATATTAAAACAACACTAGAAGAAGGCTTGAACCTCTGACCTTGTGGTTAATGCCACACGCTCTAACCAACTGAGCTATTCCAGCTAGTTGGACCTTAAGCTCAAACCAGTATTGTTAGTTTGACACTTTAACAAATGTGCTAATAGGTCTTTCAAATTTTCTTTATATAACTGTATAAATTGGTATTGTTTTGAAAGTAAATTGGAAACGGATAATCAAATTTAAGACATCTCTAAAGCAAAGCTTTGACCTCGGTCTTTGAGGTAAAAGCCAAAACTAAATGGATCTTCAAGCTCCAACCAGTATTGTCAGTTTGACACTTTTACCAATTGAGCTAATAGGCAATTGAAAATTTTCTTAATATAACTAATAAATTGGAATTATTTTGAAATTAATGGGAAATGGTCAATTCGAGCTAAACAACGCTATAAGGAGTTCTTAAACCTCCGACCTTGTGGTTAACAGCCACACGCTCTAACCATCTATAAGCTATTCAAGCTAATTGATCTTTAAGCTCCAACCAGTATTATCAGTTGGAAAATTTTACCAACAAAGCTAACAGAACATTGAATTTTTTTATAATTGTATAATTGGTATTATTTTAAAGTAAATGAGAATGGACAATCCAAGCTAAAACAACGCTAGAAGGAGGGCTTGAACCTCTGAACTTGTGGTTAATAGCACAGCTCTAACCAACTGAGCTATTCAAACTAGCTAAACATTTAAGCTCCAACCAACATTATCAGTTTGAAATTTTACCAAATAGCTAGTAGGCCATTGAAAATTTTCTTTATATAATTATAAATTGGTAATATTTTTAAAGTAAATGGAATGGACAATCCAAGTTAAAACAACGCTAGAAGGAGGGCTTGAACCTCTGACCTTGTGGTTAACAGCCACACGCTCTAACCAACTGAGCTATTCTAGCTAGTTGGACCTTTAAGCTCCAACCAGTGTTGTCAGTTTGAAACTTTTATCAACAGAGCTAATAACATTGAAATATTTTTATATAATTATATAAATTGGTATTATTTTGAAAGTAAATGAGAAATGGACTATCCGAGCTAAAACAACGCTAGAAGGAGGGATTGAACCTCTGAACTTGTGGTTAATAGCTAAACGCTCTAACCAACTGAGCTATTCTAACTAGTTGAACCTTTAAGCTCCAACCAGCATTATCAGTTTGAAATTTTACCATTAGCTAGTAGGCCATTGAAAATTTTCTTTATATAACTGTATAAATTGGTAATATTTTGAAAGTTAATGGAAATGGACATTCAAATTAAAACAACTCTAGAAGGAGGGCTTGAACCTCTGATCTTGTGGTTAATAGCTACAACCCTCTAACCACTAAGTTATTCCAGCTAATTGGAACCTTTTTACCAACTAAGTGAATAGGCCGTTGAAAATTTTCATTATATAACCATATAAATTGGTAATATTTTGAAAGTTAATGGGAAATGAACAATTCAAATTAAAACAACACTAAAAGGAGGGCTTAAACCTTCGAGCTTGTGGTTAACAACCACATGCTCTAACCAACTGAGCTAATAGGACATTGACAATTTTCATTATATAACTGTTTTAAATTAGCATATTTTGAAAGTAAATGGGAATGGACAATTCAAATTAAAACAACGCTAGAAGGAGGGCTTGAACCTCCGACCTTGTGGTTAACAGCCACACGCACCACCAAATGAGCTATGCCAGCTTCTTTGACCTTTAAGCTCCAACCAGTATTATCAGTTTGACAATTTTACCTATAGAGCTAATAGGCCATTGAAATGTTTCTTCACATAATTGTATAAATTGGTAATATTTTGAAAGTAAATGGGAAATGGATAATCCAAGTTAAAACAACACTGGATGGAGGGCTTGAACCCCTGACCATGTGGTTAACAGCCAAACGCTCTAACCAACTGAACTATTACAATTAGTTGGACCTTCAAGCTCCAACCAGTATTGTCAGTTTGACACTTTTACCAACTGAGCTAATAGACAATTGAAAATTTTATTTATATAATTGTAGAAATTGGTAATATTTTGAAAGAAAATGGGAAATGGACAATCCGAGCTAAAACAACACTAGCATGAGGGCTTGAACCTCCGACCTTGGCTCTAAAATTGTTCATTTAAGCTCAAACCTATACTATCAGTTTGAAATTTTTACCAAGAGCTAATAGGCCATTGAAAATTTTCTTTATATAATTGTATAAATTGGTAATATTTTGAAAGCAAGTGGGAAATGGACAATTTAAAATAAAATAACGCTAAAAGGAGGGCTGTAACCTCCAACCTTGTGGTTAACAGCCACAGGCTCTAACCAACTGAGCTATTCCATCTAATTGAACCTTTAAGCTTCAACCAGTATTATCAGTTTGAAAATTTTACCAAAAGAGCTAATAGCCCATTGAAATTAGATGGGAAATGGATAATCTGATCTAAAACAACGCTAGAAAGAGGGCTTGAACCTCTAACCATGTGGTTAACAGCCATACACTCTAACCAACTGAGCTATTCCACTTAATTGTAACTTTAAGCTCAAACCAGTATTATCAATTTGACACTTTTACCAATAGAGCTAATAGGACTTTGAAAATTTTCTTTATATAATTGTATAAATTGGTAATATTTTGAAACAAAATGGGATATGGGAAATTCAAATTAAAATAACACTAGAATGAGGGCGTGAACCTCCGGCCTTATGGTTAACAGCCACGCGTTCTAACCAACTGAGCTATTCTAGCTAGTTGGACCTTCAAGCTCCAACCAATATTGTCCGTTTGATACTTTTACCAAATGTGCTAATAGGCCATTGAAAATTTTCTTTATATAATTTATAAATTGATATTATTTTGAAAGTAAATGAGAAATGGACAATCAGAGTTAAAACAACGCTAAAATAAGAGCCAACGCTCTAACAATTTAGCTATTCAAACTAATTGGACCTTCAATCTCCAACCAATATTGTCAGTTTAACATTTTTACCAGCTGAGCTAATAGGTCATTGAAAATTTTCTTTATATAATTGTATAAATTGGTAATATTTTGAATGTAAATTGGAAATGGACAATTCGAGTTCAAACAAAGCTAGAAGGTGGGCTTGAACCTCCAACCATGTGGTTAATACCCACTCGCACTAACCAACTGAGCTATTCCATCTAGTCGAACCTTTAAGCTCCAACCAGTATTTTCAGTTTGACACTTTTACCAACTATGCTAATTGTCCATTGAATTTTTTTATATAATTGTATAATTTGGTAATATTTTGAAAGTAAATGGGAAATGGACAATCCAAGTTAAAATAACGCTATAAGGTGGGCTTGAACCTTTGACCATGTGGTTAACAGCCACACGCTCTAAGTAACTGAGCTTTTCTAGCTAGTTGGACCTTCAAACTCCAACCAGTTTTGTCAGTATAAATTGGTAATATTTTGAAATTAAATGCGAAATGGACAATCCGAGCTAAAACAACATGGAAGGAGGGTTGAACCTCCGACCTTGTGGTTATAGCTACACGCTCTAACTAACTGAGCTATTCCATCTAGTTGAACATTTAAGCTCCAACCAGTATTGTCAGTTTGACAGTTTTACCACTGTGCTAATTGACCATTGAATTTTTTTTATATAACTGTATAAATTGGTAATATTTTGAAATGAAATGGGAAATGGACAATTCAATTTAAAACAACACTAGAAGGAGGGCTTGAACCTTCGACCTTGTGGCTAGCAGCCACACGCTCTAACCAACTGAGCTATTCCATCTAGTTGGACCTTCAAGCTCCGACCAGTATTGTCAGTTTGACACTTTTACCAAATGCACTAATATGCCATTGAAATTTTCTTTATATAAATTTATAAATTGATATTATTTGAAAGTAAATGGAAACTGGACAGTTAGAGTTAAAACAACGCTAGAAGAATAACTTTGAACCTCCGATCTTGTGGTTCTAACCTTGTGGTTAAAAGCCACACACTCTAACCAATTGAGCTATTCCAACTAATTGGACCTTCAAGCTCCGACCAGTATTGTCAGTTTAATATTTTTACCAACTGAGCTAATAGTACATTGAAAATTTTCTTTATATTATTGTATAAATTGGTAATATTTTGAAAGTAAATGGAAATGGACAATTTGAGTTCAAACAATGCTATAAGGAGGGCTTGAACCTCCAACATTGTGGTTAATAGCCACACGCTCTAACCAACTAAGCTATTCCATCTAGTTGAACCTTTAAGCTCCAGCCAATATTGTCAGCTTTTACACTTTTATCAACTGTTCTACTTGGCCATTGAATTTTTTATATAATTGTATAAATTGGTAATATTTTGAAAGCAAATGTGAAATGGACAATCCAAGTTAAAACAACGCAATAAGGTGGGCTTGAACCTCTGACCAAATGTTTAACAGCCACACACTCTAACTAACTAAGTTATTCCAGCTAGTTGGACCATCAAGCTCCAACCAGTTTTGTAAGTTTGACACTTTTACCAACTGAGCTAATAGGCCATTGAAAATTTTCTTTATATAACTGAATAAATTGATAATATTTTGAAATTAAATGTGAAATTGATAATATGAGCTAAAACAACGTTAGAAGGAGGGCTTTAACCTCCGACCTTATGGTTAACAACCACACGAACTAACCAACTGAGCTATTCCAGCTGGTTGGATCTTCAAGCTCCAACCAGTATTGTCAGTTTGACACTTTTACCAAATGTGCTAATATGCCATTGAAAATTTTCTTTATATAATTGTATAAATTGATATTATTTTGAAAGTAAATGGGAAATGAACAATCTGAGCTAAAACAACGCTAGAAGGAGGGCTTGAACCTCTGACCTTGTTGTTAACATCCAAACGCTCTAACCAACTGAGCTATTCCAGCTAATTTGAACTTTAAGCTCCAACCAATATTTATCAGTTTGGCATTTTCACCAACAGGGTTAATAGGCCATTGAAAATTTTCTTTATATAATTAAGCTTAACCAACTGCTATTCCAACTAATTGGAATTTTAAGCTCCAACAAGTATTATCAGTTTGACACTTTTACCAACAGAGCTAATAGGCCATTGAAAATTTTCTTTATATAATTGTATAAATTGGTAATACTTTGAAAGTAAATGTGAAATGGACAATTGAAATTAAAACAACACTAGAATGAGGGCTTGAACCTCCGACCTTGTGGTTAAAATCCACTCTCTAACCAACTGAGCTATTCCAACTAGTTGGACCTTCAAGCTCCAACCAGTATTGTCAGTTTGACACTGGTAATAGGCCATTGAAAATTTTCTCTATATAAATTTATAAATTGATATTATTTTGAAAGTAAATGGGAAATGAACAATCAGAGTTAAAATAATGCTAGAAGAAGGGCTTTATACATATTTTGAACTCTAATTACTACAAGATTAAAAGAAATTTCGATTCAAATTTTTATATATATAATTAAATTTATAATTATTTTTTACATTTATAATTCATTGGTTATATAATCATTAATTTGAGTTTCTTAAATTTAGTTAATAATTTTATAAAATTAATATACGAATCATTTATGTAGTTAATTTATTAGATTGTATAGTTTAAAATGTTTAATTTAAAATTGATATTACTCATGTTAATGTTATAACTTATATTATAAATTTTGAACTACAGTATTCAATAAAAATAATTAAAATAAAAATAATTCATATATTTTATTTTTTAATTAACTAAATTAAAAAAAACTTTATTTAATGATTGTATATAACCAATAAATTATAATTATAAAAAAATATTAATTATAGTTTATAAATATAAAAAATTTCAACCCGAATTTTCTTTTAATCTTGTAATAATGAATTTTAAAATATGTTTATACTATATTCATTTAATAATTATAAGATTTGTTTCAGTGGTTAAGTGTCTTTAGTACTATTTGGCCTAAGTTTAAAACTCATTATGTTAATTTTTCATTCATATTTTTTTTGGCATTAATTACACTATAAGTTATATATGTTATTGTGTAAAGTAAAACTCAAAGGCTGGGTTGGCTCAGATGTCGGAACGGTCCTTAAGGTTTTTGGGACTATTTCGGGGATTAATCCAACTTAATATTGGAAAATATTGGATTTTAAAATGAAGAACAAATAAATAGGTTTGG